ATAATTTTTCCAGTCTTTTATATAAATTTTTCCTAGATTTTATGATTTGATCATATGTTCAGAAAATACCTTTTTATTTGGAAGTATAGATTATGTGTTGTCCAAAAATCCATTAAATGTTTTGTTTATTAAGTTTTTTTTTTTCCTGAGCAGAATTAGTCTATCTCTGTGTATGTGTGTACATATATGTATAAGTGTGTGTGTGTGTGTGTGTGTGTGTGTTTATATATATATATGCTTATACATACTTATGTTTGTACTGTAGGTCATTCTGTTTCATAGTTATTTAACATAATTGGAAGAAAATTATTTTAGGTAAATGGACTTTGCATATGAAAATCCTAACAGTTAAAGAGGCCAAAAGCATTGGATACAAATCTTTTCAAATCTGAGTGTTCTTTTTCTGATTTCTTAATTATTTCAGACATATCATTGTTAAGATAAGTTTCCTCTCCTTGTACAATTGAGTGTAAAATCTCTTAAAAAGTATTCCCTTCTTAAATAGAACAATCGTTTGCCTAGATTCCTGTGAGAAATTTTCTAATCTCATTGAACTTTTTCTCAGCTAAAAGGAAAAAGAAAATAGAAGGATAAAGAGAAGGAAAAAACATGAAAACATTTTATATTTCTCTCTCTTGTTTCTTTCATTTCAAGAACCCCGGTACCTGTTTCTCTTTTCACTAGGTTATGTGGGATCTGGTTCCTAGCTTGTTGCTCCTCAGTTTCAGCATTTGACTTTAAAACTTTAGTCTCCCTACCTTAGATGACTGCTTTTATGCTACTTCCCATTTTCCTCTGTTGTCATTTTGAGTAAAAGGTTAGCAAGACTATGACATTAAAGAAATGTTCATTTCTTTCTGTGTTGGAGTTTTCTGAATGCAATTTCTTATTACGAAGATCCCATGGATGATCCATGGACACATCTGAGTATCCCATCACCATTTATAACATTTAAAAGGACAAGTAATATGGTAAGTTACAAAGAAATTTAGTGATGTTTTAAAAAAATTTCTGCTTAGGTTTTATTATAAGGCAGTTTATTTCTGTCTTTTGGAAATGATTGTTTTTGTCCTTTCCAGAATATATTAATTGTCATTTCTCTTGCTGCTTGTGCATTTTCTTTTAGCAGTCCTCCCTTTCAGATTTTTTTGCTATATATTTAGTGGTTTGCAGAAATAAGATGATTTAGCCTCTTAGTTTCTAAATTCTAAATTCAGCCAATAGCCAAATTTAAATTGGAGTTCTAAGATGTTTTCTGGTGAGTGAAAGTGGCATATCTTAGTACAAAAATTATGCCTTTAATATTGTTTCCTCAGATTCCTTTTGAATAGTCATTGTTTCTAGACTTTATTCTGGTTATTTAGAATTGT